TCATCCGGTGTTCAGTCTTAGTTTATATGACTCAGAATCAACACGGGGCTGAACAGAGCTTTCTTCAACTGAAGAATGGGGCTTTGGGTGTGGATGGCTAGTTCATTGATATAGTTGGTTCATGAGTCAACCATGTGGCACAGTGAAAGTCCTTGTATGTGATAGATTAGTTTTTTTAAAAAAATTTTTTTAGTTTAGTATTTCTTGTACTGATATTGATAATAAATTACTTAATAAAAACTAATACTAAATTTTTGTTAAGAAGAATCAGGGCCAATACAGTGGCCAGAGTGCTTAACTTGTACATGACTGACTCAGGTCTGATTCCTGGCTTTCTGTATGATCTCCCAGGAATCTCAAGGTGGGAATTCTGAATACAGAGCCAGGAGAGAATGAGAGAGAGAGAGAGAGAGAGAGAGAGAGAGAGAGAGAGAGAGAGAGAGAGAGAGAGAGAGAGAGAGAGAAAGGAGGAAGTAAGAAAGGAAAGAAGGAAGGAAGGAAAGAGAGAGAAAAAAAGAAAGAAAGAAAGAAAGAAAGAAAGAAAGAAAGAAAGAAAGAAAGAAAGAAAGAAAGAAAGAAAGGGGAAGGAAGAAAGAAAGGGGAAGGAAGGAAGGAAGGAAGGAAGGAAGGAAGGAAGGAAGGAAGGGAAAGGAAAGAGAAAAAAGAAACAAGGAAAGAAAGAAAAGAAAGAAAGAATCAAGCAAAACTCCCCACAACACTTTAAATTCACTCTGACTTTGTCCTTTAAACCTGGCTTCATTTTCTACTTCTCTGTGGAAGCAGGTAGGAAGCACACTCAAGCCAATGTCTTAAGCGTAGAGTCACTGTGGGCTAAGGAATAAGACCAAGAGTTCAAGAACTTGGAATTGGTTTCCAAATGTGGTTTTGGAACTTATCAGCTGTTGACTTTAATTATGTTACCTGAGTTTTCCTGTTACCACATCTTTAAAATGGATCCAATAATAATAGTATCTATCTGGTAGGTATGTTTTGAAACAAATGCAAAGCACTTAGATTGCCTGGCACTTAGAATGCCTCAATACTTGTTAGAGATCACCATAATTATAATTTTCTTGGTTACCTTACTATCTTTCTTTTACAATAAACCAACATATTTTAGGAGTTTTTGATTTTTTAATTTTTTAATGTGTGTTTTCAATAAAAGGATAAAAATCCCTTATTTGTCTGCCTTTGATGACTTCAGCAACATTCTAGTTGTTTATGAACTTTCATGTTTATGAAAGTAACATTGGTTTATAACACAAGTTTCATATATATAACTCAATATATGACATCTGTATATGCTACTTCATGATCATCACCAGAAGTGTAGTTTCTATTTATCACCATAAAACTGACTTTCCTTATTTATCTCACCCTCCATGTTTCCCAGTCTGGAAACAAACAATCAGGCTCTCCGTTTACATTTTTGCTCTACCTTTTAATCTCATATATGAATAAAATCGTAGGATGTTTGCTTTTCTCCATATCACTTATTATAATTAGCATGATTCACTCAAGGTCTATCCATGTTGTTGAAAAAGACAAATTTTCACCAATTTTATAGTTGATCAGTCTTCCATTGTGTATATTGTTTAATTTATAAATACTGTTTTTTTTTTTGCTTTTTGGGTCACACCCGACGATACAAAGGGGTTACTCCTGGTTCTGCACTCAGGAATCACCCCTGGCGGTGCTCAGGGGACCATATGGGATGCTGGGAATCGAACTCAGGTCTGCTGCGTGCAAGGCAAATGCCCTACCCGCTGTGCTATTGCTCCAGCGCCTGCATAAATACTGGTTTGTAGGCTTCTTTTAATGGAGAACAGATGATACCACAAGGTCCAGGACATATATATATATATAATATACATTTATATATAATATTGTATATTATATATAAATATATATATAATATATATTCACTTTTTCTTCTGACTGCATGACATGACACTGGGTAAGGTCTTCAATTTATTTATCCTCATCACTGTCACTGTCCTCCCATTGTTCATCGATTTGCTCTAGCGGGCCCAGTAATATCGTGAGACTTGTTACTGTGTTTGGCATATTGAATATGTCATGGGTAGCTTGCCGGGCTTTGCCATGGGGGCGAGATACTCTCAGTAGCTTGCTGGACTCTCCGAGAGGGGCAGAGGAATCAAACTCCGGTCGGCCATGTTCTCCCCGTGCAAGGCAAATACCCTACCCGCTGTGCTATCGCTCCAGCCCATTTATCCTCATAAACATAACTAATCATAATCATTTAGCTGTGATATTATAAAGATCAAGCAAAACAATTTCCATACATAGAAAAAGAAATAACACTTAGCAGCTCCTAAAATGTTATTAATGAACCTTTATATTGGGTTTTTATTGACTTTTTGGGGTTATATTTGGCAATACTAAGGGGTTATTCCTAACTCTGAACTCAGGAATCACACCTGGCAGTGATCTAGGGACCATATAGGATGCTGGGTATTGAACCCAGATTGGCCGAAACAAGGCTAACACCCAACCCACTGTATTATCACTCTGACTCCAAACTTTTGTATTGCTATTGAAAAAAACAAACATTACTTCAATTAAGTTTCATCTTGATTTTGTACTTTATAATACAACCCGAGAAAGCAGACTTTTATTTGCCATCTAATTGAACCTGATTCTATAATATTATTTTCCTTTCTTGTCTTTACTTCCCTCCCTTACTTTCTCTTTCCTTTACTTACTTTTTGTATTTCCAATAATGTCCTTCATGTCTTGTGCCTTTTTTTTTCTCTTTGGTTTTAGATAATTTTGTATTCATTTGTAAAATTTCTTCTTTAACAAAGAACTTGCATTTCACAATATATATTAAAAACATTTTCCTGGTCTGTAATTTACCATTCTGTGTTTTATGATATGTGTTTCTTTTCTTTATCTTTTTCAACATAAATAAATGTTCATTTTTTATAGAGTCAAATTTTTACTTTTTTATGATTCATGATTTATTATATGATAGTTTTTCTTATTGTTTGCAAATATTTTAAAGTATATTTTCCAATATTCTTATAAGTTAAAAATTTATCAGTGCTTACACGCTAATGTAAATAACGCTTGATTTCTTTATTTCAGTGTCAGTTGCTTATTATTATTTTTGTGTTATTTATTCATTTTTCTTACTTTTACTTTTAATTTCAATTTCATTTCTAGAAAAAATTGAAATAATTTTGTTGACAGGGTTCACATAAAATTTATGGAATGATTTAGGTAGAATCAACATTTTTCACCTTTAGGCTTCCCATCCATGGATATTATATTTTATTCCATCTTTCCATCTTTAATTTAGTTAACTTCTATGTCTCTCCATAGCATTTTAGTATTATCTTCAACTTCATTTCTACCTCACATATTTTTACTGCTATTCTCAAGTTCCTCATGTTTCTGATGCTACCTTAAATGGAGCTTTCAATTTAATTACAAGTTTAACTTATTTTTAAAAATCAACTGTTTTTTCTGATATCTTTTATAACATAGAACTTTAGTTTTCTTATGAATATATGCACAATACTTATCTTCATGTTTTCTAGCTTTTCAACTGGCTTGAGTGCATAGTGTAAATGATAGCAGTGGTGTCTAACTCCTAACCATTCTTATTTTCTCCTGTCACAGTAGATGAACTTTGTTTATGTTTCTTAATGGCATAATAGAGTATTCTATGAGGATAAGCTCCATTGAACCAGAGATAACCCATGAGCACAATCTAAATCACTAGAGATAAAACTCACAGCACCCAGGAAAACCTTGCGATTATGCCATTTCTTTTCTCAAATGTCCCTCACTTACGACACTTATCTGGCTAGGCATTTGGGGGCACCACACAATTCAGGGTCTTGAGGCATCTACCTACTCCAGGTGAAAACATGTAATGTCCTGAGAGTAGACTGGCTCTCAGCCAGCTCATCCTGTCCTGTGATCTTAGAACAATCTGACCTTTCCTCTAGGCAGATGTTGGTTCTCCAAGGATGGATGAGTAAAGGAGGACAACATGGGTTCCCTGCCCAGCTTCTTATTTCCCAACAGTTGAGCTACCTGTTTGGCTATGCTAATTTGTTCCTCCAACAGGTGAGCTCACCTTGCAGCTCAGAAAACTTGGCTATGGCATCCTGGTTTGGAAAAAGGGGAAATTGCCTTCTTGGTTTTTTTTTTTTTACCAGTACCTCCAAAACTTAAGCTCCCTATTCAAATAAGCATGAGTTCTTTTTCCTCCTCAGTAAATTTCTGTCAGACATTCTGTGGCAGCAGCAGCCAAAGGAGGAAAAACTTAAATACCAAAGGTGAAAGAATTAACAAGTCTGTTTGGTTCCTGCTTGCAAAAAGTAACAATAAGCTACACTTTCCGAAGTGTCTTGGAAAAGAATTCCTGTGATGTAAAATTTCAAAGAAGGGCTCTAGCCCCAAATCAAACTGACTTATGACAATGCACATTAAACACCAAAAAGAATCCATCTTTCAACCAGAGGCATTTCTCATGTACTCCGGGGAAAATGCCCTGCCTGCCACACAATTCCAGCAACATTTACTTTCACTTCCTCTTTTTCTTCTGAAGCATGATGAATGTAGCATGCTGTGATTTCTTGATGGATTAAAGTTTAGTTTAAAAATTTGAATCTACACTACTTTGCCCCCTCTCTCATGTCTTCCCTCTTCACCCCCACCCCTCACTTCCCACCATTAAAATTCTTACAAGGAAACAGACATCTGGTAGGTATCTGAATAGTTCAGGAAGTTTAAAGATCTTGAGTTTATGTTGTGTCCTGTCTTATAAGGTGAGAAAATTCTCTCTCTTTACTCATACCTAAAAAAACACTTTTTGGTGACTATTTCAATTAGTTGCAGAATTAAACCACATAAAACACTTCATAAGCAGGGCGTTTTTAGTTTAAAAACACCTAAAACAGCATTGCAAGGAGATATTGAAATGTTCCAATCATTCAGGGCAGGGGGACCAGTTTGCCTCTTACCTGGGCGTCTTTCACTATCCCATTCTTTGTGCAGTTTCCACTTTTCGAGCTGACACTCTGTTTCTTGTGATTATAAAGATTCCCATTGCAAACATCACCGCCTCCAGGATGAGCCATTTGTATGAAATGATGGAACCCAGCAAATTTTCCTCCAGAGGTTGTTGGCAAGCTTTAGTGCTGAAGTTGGTGAGGGGATGGGATCAGCTTTGGGCTGAGCCCTTATAGGAATCCTACCAATCAGGCTTTTCCAGAAGAAGCGTAACAGCCTATCTTTTGGACAGATCTTCTAAACCAAAACCAAACTGTTACCTTTACACTGGCAACCTTTACATTCCTTAACTCAGACTGTGAACTCCACCGCAACAAACCTGCTTTGGCATTTATAAAGGAGATTGCTCATGCTGGCTTCTTGCACAAACTGAGAAAACCTGAAGACTGCAAACCCAGTGGCAAACTGTGAGGAGGCGGGCTGGGAGGTGGAGAATCATTTAAAGACACACACACACCACACACACACACATATCCAGTACACAGAGTCCTGTAAGTACAGTTGACTCTAAATTGACATGTATCTGCTTTCAATCTTTTTTGATCTTACTAAACTTGGGGAGGGGATGTGTATTACCTACTCAAAAGCAACATGTCTTTTTGCTGAAAAAAAATTCAGAAGTGATTTCCAGGACTTGGTCATAGGGAGGAAATAATGGGAAGTTACTGTTTACTGGGAAACAAATTTCAGCTGAGGAACAAGGGAAATGTTTTGATGATGATGGTTGATAATAATGTGAGTGTTCTTAAAGTTACTGATCTGAACACTTAATATTGGTGAAAATAATAAATTATATGTGACATATACTTTAGTGCAGAAATAGGGGTAAAGAGAGTTCAGAACCCAACTGATATTAAAGTCAGTACTTTAATGAGAGGTTCTAATGCATCAAGAATGCCAGTAGAACAGAAATCTGAGAAAGAGTATTTGGTTTCTTTCCATTATTACATACATTATCACATACATTATCACATGATCTCAGGGAGCCATGTGCCCCTTTTTTCCTCAGTTTCTTCTTCTAGAAGATGAGAAACGTATGGCATGTTGTTCTCTCTGATGAGGTAGCAGGAAAACAAAACTCTGACTTTTGGATCTCTAATTAACAGGGATTGTGAGGCAGATGGTAACAGCAGTGGCCCAATTCTGAACATGTCTGGCTTACTCATTAACTCTTATGCTCTCAATGCACCAGTCATCAGCGTTCTGTTTTCCCCTATCATTATCAGCGTAAGGTAGTGATATGGTTTGTTGGCCCCTGTCAATCATTTATAGTCTGTTGAATGCTACCAATCCTACCCCACATGCACAACTAAATGGAGACCTCTTTGACTGGAGGCACTTCAAATAGAACTCCGGAGGCCAGAGTGATAGTACAGTGGGTAGGGTGATTTCCTGGCATGCAGCTGACCTGGGTTCAGTTCCCAGCATCCCAGAAGGTCTTCTGTGTACTGCCAGAAGTAATTACTGAGTGAAGAGCCGCCAGGAGTAACACCAGAGCACTGCTGGGTGTGGCACAAAATAAAATAAATAAATTTTTTTTTTTTTAAAAAAAGACCCGTAGTTTGGGTCAGTGAGAAAAAAAAACACACACACAAAGAAAAAAGATGGGAAGAGCTGAAGGAATAAGAGAATGTCTTGGGCCAACTAACTTATAGGACAGTGTTAGTACCAAGAGTGTCATTTCTTTGTAGCTAAAGTTTAAAGTTTTCGTTGTATTTTTACCAATATTTGTCTATGGAGCCTAAATCACTTTTCACTGGGTTTTAATCTCCATAACTGGTGAACTGGGAGTGAAGAGCTAAACCTATGTTGATTTATTTTCTTCTAGATTTACATGAAAGAGAGTTGAGAAGCAAAGGGAGGATGGGAGCTAATGACTGTTGTGTAATTATCTTGCTTACTTAGTGAGATAAACTGAGGACACAGTGTTATTTTGACTTAACTCCATTGAGTTGAATAAAATTACTTTTGGAGTAAGCATTTTGTTAAAAAAAAACTAAATTCTGAACATTAGGTGTTTCTAACACTCCTCTTTTCCTTTCTTTTTTTGAAATTTTTCTTCTTCATTTTTTTCTTGCTCCTCTTTCAATTTTTCTTTTCACAGGATGACAGTAACCATATATTTCAAACTATACTTGAAATACTTCTCTTTTTTGAATCTTAGTTGGCAAAGATTCACATCGAATTTCAGCAAACATGCCACATGCTTTCACTCATAAAATGTTGTACTTCATTAGCCATATTGGAATATGTGGATTGCTGTGTCCATAAAATCGTCTTACTACACCGGCCATAAAGCATTAGATAAGACAGATATGAGTGTTTACTGCTTTATCATGTCAATTGGTAAATGTGGAATATATCTGAGTGAAAAGTTTTGAACTAAAAGACATGAATTGCTATGAATTGCTATGAATTGCTATGAAAGAATTGCTACAATCTAAATGAACTATCCCAAAATTCATATGCAGAAATCCAAATCCCCCAGTGTGATGGTGAAAAGGTTAAGTTTGAGAGATTATTAGGTCCTTAAGGACAGTTTTCCTCTTTCTATGTACATCTGAACTCTGGCTATGAGTGATACAATGTTTAGTAAATTAAACCAAAAACTTTCAGGATAGACCATGACCCCCCTATGCCTGACATTTGGGAATGAGCTTCTTAAACCAGAGTATTTGTGGGAGAAAAGGGTACCTGATTTTTTTAATAAAAAAGTATTTCCTGCAAGCATGAGTTTCTTTGTTTCCCTAGGGAATTTATGCGCCTAACAATAGCAATTTATATAATTGTACTTTAAGTTGATATTTGCATATTAAATTACAAATTTAAAGTGGAGTTAAGTTTAATCTATAAATCTTGTTATAATTTCTGTAGGAGATTAGAACGATTACTTTTTAATAGTTGTATTACTAAAATGTGATAGACAAAATTTGAATAGGCTCAATTGTCCTGAAAAATCACTACTACTTATAAACTTAGCTAGTGTACTGCCTTTAAGCATAAAAGTTAATAAAATGCCTTTAAACAGTAAAACATTCAACTCTACTTTCTTTTACCTTAAGCACTTCTAATAGCTACGTTGGGAACAACTAACTTTAATAAGCAAAATCTTGCCAAGAACAAAAATGAGTCATATAAGCTCAATAAATTTAAATAAATTAAACTGGTAAATCAAGTTTTTGCCTATAGTCCAAATTGTCTATAAATGAGTTACTATTAGGTCACTGTCACTGTCCTCCCATTGTTCATCGATTTGCTCGAGAGGGCCCAGTAACATCTCCATTGTGAGACTTTGTTGTTACTGTGTTTGGCATATCGAATACTCCACGGGTAGTTTGCCAGGCTTTGCCATGAGGGCAAGATTCTCTTGGTAGCTTGCCGGGCTCTCCGAGAGGAGTGGAGGAATCAAACCTGGGTTGGCCACGTGGAAGTCCCTACCCGCTGTGCTATTGCTCTTGGCATTTCTGACAGTATCTCAAATATTACAGATTTTTAATTTGCTCATATAGATCATTCCTAAACTTGAAGGTAATTTTTAGTACTTGGAGTGATAGCACAATGGTAGGACGTTTGCCTTGTGCGCAGCCAGCCTGGCTGAGCCATGTTCAATTCCTCCGCCCCTCTCAGAGAGCCTAGCAAGATACCGAGAGCATTCAATATGCCAAACACAGTAACAAGAAGTCTCACAATGGAGATGTTACTGGGCCCGCTCGAGCAAATCGATGAACAATGGGAGGACAGTGTTTGTTTGTTTGTTTGTTTGGACAGACTTTGTTAACTTTAGCATTTCCCTATTCATTGCAATAGTCCGAGATTAATGATACTATCAATGAACTTTAAGAAATAAGTGCTAATGGGATCCGTGGTGGTGGGAAATGGGCACTGGTGGAGGGATGGGTATTTGATCATTGTATAATTGAAACCCAAGCACAAAAATTTGTAAGTCTACAACTGTACCTCAAGGTGTCTCATTAATAAAAATTAAAAAAAATAAAAAAATTAAAAATACAATAAAATATTGCCAATAATAGAAAAAAAAGAAAAAAAAAGAAATAAGTTCACCCTTCTTGGCAAGTTTAAGGTGCATCACAGTACTATTAAAATAAAATGAACAAGTATGGATATAAGGAACTCAAGGCCATGGAACATAAGAGAGTTGGTCCAGAGATCTAGAAATTTGCTGACTCCTCTGCCCCCGCCACATTTGTTCATCACGTCAACAGGGATCCCCGAGTCCAGTCTGCTGGTTTTCTTTCCATTTTCCTTTTTGGGTTTTGGGGTTACATCTAAAAGTGTTCAGAGCTTACTTCTGGTTTAGGGCTCACTTTTGGCATTGCTCTGGAAACCATTTGGGGTGGGGCAGATGGAACATGGGTTGACTGTGTGCAAGGGAAGTGCCTAACCCCTACACTATCTATCTGTCCACATATAGTTAGGCTTCTAATTTCCTGTTTGGGGGACAAATTCTGTAATTCCATGCCACTAATATTTCAGCATCACATTTTTTTCCCAGAAATATTTTTCAAAAATTAGTTTTCAAAACTCTTAAGTCATTTTACAACATCTCAGTGTATTCCACTTTTTTCCCCCACATAATTGTCCTGTTGCATAGTCAGTGACATCCCGAAGTAACTCCAAAGGTCACTTAAATAACTTTGCTTTCACTTATTACCCATGCTACAAAAACAAGTTTCTTCTTTTATCACATCATGTAAATTCAGTGTACAGAATAGGGCAAAAGTTTTATAATCAAATTAATATGGTATTTTTGTTTTGTTTCAAGAGTATACCTTGTTGTACTCAGACATTACTCCTTGCTCTGTACTCAGGGATCACTCCTAGTGGCGCTTGCAGAATCACGGAGTTCGTCTCTGTGAATACACTCAACTAGACTTTATCAATACTACATTTAGGTAAAAATTTAGATTAAAAATGGAATCCGAGAGTATTCGATATGCCAGACACAGTAACAACAAAGTCTCCAATGGAGACGTTACTGGGCCCGCTCGAGCAAATCGAGCAAAAATGGAATCATTACGATAATTGGTCTTAATGTTTTATTATGACT